CTAAGTTATAATCACACCATCTCTTGTCAACAGCAGTGAGTAACCTTTCTAGGATGGCTATAAATACTGTATACTTCCTTCTTTCTGTTTTCTAATCGGCCTGTTGTCCTCCTCTGTCTGATGGATGCTCTCTCCTCAGATTAACTTGAGCTTGTCTCCTCTCACTCTGTATCTGCAATTTGGTTTTATTTAAACTTCCTTTGAGGCTTAGACATTTTTTTAGTGTTCCTTTCTTCACCTTAAATATATTGGAAGACATAATGAACGTTTTACATTTCATACTTTCTTTAGTTAAAAAAAAGAAGATATTCCAGTATTTTAGAGTGTTGTGGAGCAGTGGTTGGATTATGTCTTAAATGTGAACGATGAAAACAAGATGGAAGAATTGTCAAGTATAATGTGCTTTAGGCTGAAATCAGTGTATGGATGTAATATATTAAGTAGGCAAGGCAAGTTTATTAGTGTAGCACAGTTCATACATAAGGCAATGCTTGATAAAACACGCTCAAACAAGGCAATACAATCATAAATAATCACGGTACATTGAGCCGAGCGACGAAATTTTTAATTTATTAATCTGAAATTCCTCCCATACTCAGCTCTAAACATGGGGAGGCAGCATTCAAGAATTATGCAGCTAAAATCAAAAAACAGTTCTGTTTAGCCGTGCTACAACTGGATTTTAATGTCACTTTTTGAATGTACTGTGATTATATTTGATGTTAATGCCATGTGAGATTGTCTTATTATTTTGTTAAGCACTTTGAGCTCAGAAAAAAAGCTAGGGATTTGTTTTTATTTATGTCTGGTGCACACTGGGATACTTTTGCACATGAGTTATGAGCACATGAGTTGCTTTTTTATATTCCATCCATCCATCCATTTTCTTCCCCTTAATCCATTTCAAGTTTCCAAACTTGAAAATTACCAGCGGCCAAACATATGTGCAAACACATTGCAAAGAAAGTAATTCCACCAGAGAAATATCTGCAACTAACTTTGGGATAATACTTTGTTTTAAAAGTCAGAAAACTGCGTGAGTGTGATGTCAGAGGTACATTATACTGCTACAGGACTGAGACAGGAGCTTACAGACCAAAGGGGCGGAGCTACATATTTGCACCAGAAGTTCAAAACATGAATGGATCTAAAAACAGATCCAGGTCTTCCTTTTTGCATACATGTAATTAGTCTCCTTTAAAGTCTCTCTCTTAAACGTGCGATCCAATTCTCATCATGTCTTGATTAAACTCTCTCTGACGTCCTAATCACGTTCCGGGACCCGACCAGTCCAGAGAATTTTCTGGATAAATGATCGGAGAAGCCTGACGCATCATTGGGCCTTATCACGGCGTAACCTCTAAGACACTTTTCAACACCAAACTGATTTATGGCTCTGTTTCCCCGGCGACAGGTCACATGATTCACTGACCTCTGCAACACATTCATCCCTGTCAGAGAGCGACCGCAGCCACTGATGTGTCCACGACTATATATGGTCATAAAGGAAGTGCTGGTATTGTCCTGTATGAAATATGAACCAATTACAATCTATTCATCATTATTAGTAGTCTGAAATGTACTTGTAACTATAGGGCATGCTATTGTAAGTTAGTAAGTAATGTTTATTTATATACTGTAGCACATTTTACAGACCAAGGTCACCCAAAGCGCTTTACAATGTTCAATGTGCAATGTATAACAAAACATTTTGTATAAATGTTTTTTTTTTAAACATAGATACAATATAGATTTTTGATTCTTCTTTCCTGATTTTTATAGTTTTCCATTATTATTTTTTTAGTAGTTTATTATTTGATAACAGGTTGTCAAACCTGACCCCACATGTCGCGCATCCGTGCAGTTATTTGAACTGATGTCAGAATGTGCAACATAGAACCACATGTGTCACTGTCATTGTCACTTTAATGTCCTGTCCCTTTGTCCTAGACCCACATGCAGCTAACATGTACAGAAGTATCAAAAACAGGAGGAGTGAGTGCTACATGGTCAAAATGTCAAAGACGTACGTAAAACCCGGTGCTCTTCAGGACAAGAAATAGCATAGCTCAAACAAAGATACGCTTTTCTGTGGAAAAGTAACAACAGGGTCAAATCCGTGCCTCGATTTTACCCTGTTGTTAGTTTGCCACAGAAAAGGGTATCTTTGTTTGAGCTATGTACAGAAGTATACATACAACAATATATTTATTGCGCTAGAATCTACAGTATTTTACTCTGCGCTTCTTCATTGTGCTAAAATTAGAGATTATATTTTATTTTTGTATTATTATTCTCTCTCTGTCAGATTAGATGGAGAGCGTTTTCAGGTCTTTCCTTCAGGTTTACAGTTGGATTTAGGGTTGGACTTTGTTATGGTCTTTTGAGAGGAAAAAAACAAAAAACAAATATAGCCTCCAACGCGACAATATGTGCGATCGTTCAAGTTGTATCTGCTCTTCTGAAACCCCCTGAACATAAACCGGTAAATGTTCTTATTCATCCATTCATTGGTTTTGTGTGTTTTCTCCGCTCCATTACTTTCTTCCATTGTAATATCTGTGAGCGCTCTGACACACGGTGAGTTATTGCCGTTTCAAGGTTACTGCGGCTGTAAACGGTGACATCCACAGGGAGCAGAGGGAAGCCCCGTCTGAGGCCGAAGACCAGCGAAGACCAGACCATTATGACACCGAGTCTTTACTTAAGATGATGATGAACAGCAACACTCTTTCTTTTCAGTCGCTTCTTACACCAACTGTGCTGAAACAAACTGCACAGATGGCAAAACAAGTATTCAACTAACTTTTATACTAAACTAAATTAACTTCAGCATTATTCAGAGTTGTTTTTACAGTACTTTACAAAAAACCAAAAGATTTAAGAGAAATATAATGCATTTGGCCATTCAAAATATTATATAAATCTAATATATAAATCTAGTTATTGGGTAAGACACTTTTCTTGCAAACAATACTTCATGAATCGGTGATGTTTCATATTTCCCCTGACTATTATCAACGCGTCCTGCAGCAGCAGCAGCAGCAGCAGCAGCAGCAGCAGCAGCAGCAGCAGCAGCAGCAGCAGCAGCAGCAGGGGCCTGGAGCGTGGAGCGTGGAGCGTGTAGTGTGGAGCGGAGCCAGGCACGAGTGGTTCTGGCAGAATAATGGCAAAGGGGGGGTAAAAATAGCCTTCTTTCTCTTTCTGCTCTCTGTTTTCTCTCTCTGGGCTGAGTGGATAGCACTCTTGCTTCTCAGCAAGAAGGTCCTGGGTTTGAATCCCGGTCAGAACAGATCCTTTTTGATTGGTGTTTGTATGTTCTCCCCGTGTCTCTGGTTTCCCCTTCCACTAAAAACATGTACAGTAGGTCTGGCATGTCTGTCCTGTAGGCAACCTCACTCCCATCTATGTGTAGAGTAAGAGGAAAAATGTCCACAACAATTGTCTCTGAATCTCTCTCTCTCTCCTGTCTCTCTGCTCTCCCTCTCCCTCTCTCTTTTATCTCTCTTTCTACTTCTCTCTTATCCCTCTCTTTATCTCTTTCAGTGGGAGATGATATAAGTGTTAGACTAATGTGCGAGAGCAGAGAGCCACAGCAGACGGAGTGAGAGGCCGATGAGTTTGTGTTTGTGCAAAAGACAATTATCCAGGTGTTCTTCCTCATTATTGTAAAGGATTCCAGTTCATGGGGGTTAGCCGCAGGGATCTATGATAATATCTGGATGGGGTAGTGCTATTTAGCCTGTCGCCTGTGAGAAGCTAAACATCCCATGGGATCAAGATGTATTTTTGAATAGGCCTCAATGTTATAAGACACGGCCCATGATTTGCTAGCACTTTAGACATGTGAAAATACTATATGATGTAAGTCCCTGTGCTCTAACATGTCATATGAACTCACTTTGGTGCGAGAGTGACTTTTACACAAATAGAACTGTTTTAAAGTCCAGACAATAGACTCTTACCCTTTGAAAATGACGGCTTGATGAGTGATAATTATGTAACTTCTGATGAATAAATACAATGTGTTTATTAGAAAGGCACAGAGCTCAGAGAGCCCCCTCCTCCTGTTTGTCCTGGATGTAGGTTAAGTGGTGCAGCCAGGGGGCACTGTCAACGCTGCTGCTCTTTCATAGAACAGATGGTCACAGAGGAAGATTCTCCAGGGTGAAAAAGTTTGAATCGTGTGGATAAAAAAGACTGGGTGTAGTACAGAAGAAGAAGAAGAACGTTTCTATATGGACGATAGATAACACGTTCCTTTACTTCCCCCTGGAAATAAGTTTAACGTGTTACAAAGTACGCTGTTACACCCAACACTGTTTAAAACATGATGAATCAATAACTTTATAATAATCAAAAAATATTAACGGCTTATTAACCAAGCGCGAGGTCTGTATGGAGAAATATCAGACCGCAGCCTTAATGTACAGACCGAGCCGTGGCGAGGTCTGTGCAAAAAGGCCAAGGTCTGATATTTCTCTGTACAGACCGAGCAAGCAAGGTTAATAAATGTTTTATTATATGACTCTCGTCTGTGTCTTTACCAATGCTTTTGAGATATTTGTGAAGTATGTTCATGTCCGACTTGGTTTTGTGTGATACAGGCTGTAGACCGATTGTCATGGTAACGGTCCGAGGAAAGATATCAAATGTGATACGCGCTGTTCGGACCAATTGTCATGGTAACGGTCCGAGATGGGAAAATATCAGACCGGTAATCAGCCAATCAGAGCGCGCATACGGTCTAAGTCATATAATAATACAAAGTATTACTTGTGTTTTAAGGATTTTCATGATCAGGCTCTTTTTCTCACCATTAAATCTACTTATTTTTCCCCACAAACCACTTAAAAGATTTGCTTTCTGCCATATTTGTCCTGAGCAAATCTCTGGGTGAAAAAGGTTGGAGACTCCTGATCATCTTATCATCTCGTTGGTCTGCTTCACGTGTGTTAGCTGACGCGCCACAGCCGGGTTTCCTTCTGTGTGACGTTAGCATGAGCGAGTGCGTGAGTGAAGCGGGGGCTAATGGGAGAGCACTGCAGCTGTCGTCTCTGCCTTGGCCTTTTCACAGGAACACGTCAGTTCTGCTTAGCTGGCTCTGCCTCCGCACCCCGGCCCCAAAACACATCTGAGAGATCGCCGCTTTCACTCGCCTCATGCTGCAGAGACGGGTTTTCCACTCAAAATGTGTCGAGCTGAGGTTGAAAAATTGACGTTTATTTGAGAAAATTAAGCAGAGGTGAATTTGACTTTTTTGCAGTTTCTAGAACGGAGATTTTTATTTTTAAACTGCACTTATTAAGCAAACTCATCGTCGAGCTGGAATTTAATGACATCAATTTAGTATAGCCTTGAATCACAACAGCAGTAATCTCGGAGGACTTAACAAAGTTGTCAAGTCCCCAACAACAGATCAGAGAAAGAAACGGTTCAAACACAGGATTTGCAATGATAACAAACACATAAGGGGCAGAAGACCAATGTCCATGAATGTTAATAAAATGTAGAGCTATTTTAATAGTCTTTTTGTTTTCTAATATTTTCAAGTGAGCTGCTCCAGGGAATGTACAGTATAAAACCAATAATCAAGGTTGCATCTGAATGAAAACGTTTACACTTTTCCCACTGGTTCACTTTAACTGGACCACTCTGTGTGTTTGTCCTGTTGTATGTCCAATGTTATCTGTCTTGATATCCATCACCTGTCATGGGGCTACAGTTGAAAATGAGCCTACATGGCTAACTCTAGCACATTTACATGTTGAAAAAACACTTCTGATGAATGTGCACAGTCCCAATTCAAAAAAACCTAATTTGCCAACGTGCCGCAGCATTATGTTTGACTCAAAATGTGTTTTGCTGAGTAAAGAACTTGTCAGGTATTTAGAGAAATGTAGCACATTTGTCATTTTGGAAGTTTCAAGAGTGGAGGTATTTTTGTGTTTATTTATGCAAAATCATATTTTTGACACAGGCTTCTCATCAGAAACTTCCCTGGAGTTTTTTTAGACAATGGAACTTCTCTTTTAGGAAAAATACTTGTTGGGGTGCGTAAATCAGAGCCCATTTTGACCTGGTTTTGTGAAGGTATATAAGATAAACTTTATTGATATTGAGCGCCATTTTTAACAGTAAGTTAGTGAAAACGTTCACACCGGATACATACATGAAAAATCATAGTTTTAACATTGTTCCCTCATCTGAGTTGTTTTGATCTGACTGAATACTGCTTTGCTGATAGATTGGTAGTTTGACTGATTGATAGTTTGATTTGCTGTTGTGTGTAAATCTATTTTGACCTGGTTTTGTCAACGTTCGTATAGAGTCAAGAAGCAGAGATGAAATTGATTGATTGATGAGCTATTTTGGAAGATTACTTTTATTCTTCTTCTGTATTAAATTAGCTGCTCCATATTTCTCTGATAATCAAGGCTGCATATTTATATGGACTAAAACTAAGGGCGCATTTATTTTTCTTCTTGTTGTTTCCTCATTTCTATGGCAATCAAGTGAACATGTGTCCAATAGCCACCAACGGGTGCGTTCCCATTTCAGTCCCATTGAACCAGAAATCACTTTCATTAAACCGTCTTAGTCCAGATAAAGGTAACCAAACCACAAGCGTGAACAAGCTCTTAGTCTAAACTATAGCTACTAAATATTGCAGTGATTTGTAGCCCTGATGTACATACAGTATGGCAAAGACGACTATGATTCTGTGTTACTGAAACTTTACACTGTTATCTCTTCCTGTGTTCCAGAAAAAGGAGTGGCTTTGCCTGAACTGCCAGACCCAGCGCCTCTTGTCTGGAGGTGGTTTGGACGAGCCCCCAATGCCCGTACCGTTGCCTTCACCCAAGCACCAACCAACGGGCTCTCCTCGCCACCAGCCCTCCTCCGGACCTGCGTCAGCCCAACAGAGTCCGCTCCACAAAACCCCCACCTCTCAGCAGCAGGGGGCCAAGCCAGGGCAAAAACAGCCATCTTCCACCGCTGGCAAACCCGCCAGCGAGGTTAAGACCACAGCGGAGGTGCCCAAACCAATCAAAACGGAGGAGAAACCCAAGACAGAGCCAGAGAAGGAGGCGAAGAAGAAGGAGCCGATCACGCCCATCAAAGAAATCAAGAAGTCCAAACACTATGATGTAAGTTGCACATCATTTAAATTAAAAGTACATACACTGTTTACATATTTTTTGCAAAATCCTCTATATAACATGTTACTCATAGGTCACCATCAACCTCAAAGATAGTTGTTTTTTATAAGACAAATCCTTTGACAAAGTACTGTAATCGGTCTCAAATTTACATTCTATACAACTATGTGCCTTCAATAGCATTCCATCATGTTGGATTTTGATCGAAACTTGGAATAAAATTTGGCCGCTAGATGGTAGTGTGAACAAATAATGGGTCATAGTTGTTCTTTCAGTAAATCTTAAACATTGCATACAATATTTTAGGCAAAAGGTTTTTTCTTTTATGTGTTTGGTGTATATCAGAAATGTACTTAAGGTATAACATATAGCCCACGAAACAGATATTGATACTGAAAAGCATTTGGCCCCATATAAGATACAATTAATAATTATAAATTACAGTTTACTGTCTAATAAGAGCATTTATAAAATACCGTGGTATAAAAAGTGGAATGCAGGTTTTTTTTTTTTTTTTACAAAATTGAGTAATAAGTATCTGTATGCTGCATTGAAATGTTTGTGATTTGTTTAAATGTGAAAATGATTTTGGTAACGGCGTTACAACAGTTTTATGACACCTTGCCAAAGACTAATACTGTTTTATCAGTCAAACCCCAAATCATTGCTAAAGGCTGTTCTCCCATCTGCATTAGTTTCCCTGTTGGGTTTCCCATTTTGGTAAGAGAGACATGCATGGATTTTTGGCCGCAGAATGCTGAAACTGCAAGTCGCACTGTGCATTGAACCTCGACAACAGGCAGAGCGGGTGAAATAAGGCCTATTCTTAATAAGCAGCCACCTCAAGTCCCTTTTGAAATATGGCGAGATTGGCAGGCTATCAATATGCTAAACCCAAGGCCAGGCAGAGAAATGCTGTTCTGGGCCTTTTCATACGAATAAATGTCTCGAATATAAACCAGGAGTGGAGTCATGAGGGGTTTGTGCAAATGAAGATACAATAAATGGATTCATTATATTTTATTGCATCTATTTTGAATTGAATAATGAGGCTCCATTTCCGGCAATCATAGCAAAATGGAACATATTTAAATAATCTGTCCTCAAAATGAGTGTTCTAAGCATTGTGGACGACCATTTTATCGGCAGCAATTAGTTACAAAAACAACTTCAGAGACAGATCGGACAGAGCTAAGGAGAAAAATGGTCATCCCCTTTATCTAATGCGGCATCAATGAATGTTGCCAGAAACCGTGAGCCTCGCTTAAATGTGGTGTCGTCCTTGTTGTAGATTTTAAAACAGCACACGCCTAAACAAGAACACTGTTTTCATCCATGTGTCTACATTTATTAAATTGTGAAATTCTATAATTAATCATGAAATGTTACATATCAAAGTGTTTTTATATTAGCCTGGAGTCAGTGAGTTTAGAGAGTTCAGAGTGGACAGTCTTGGAGTTTGTGTCTCTAGTGTTCTTTCAGAGAAGCGGGAGTCTTATCTCGCTATAAAGGGAGAACAGGAACCAGACCAGGACTTGGGGCTTTTACTATATATGGAGTCAAGATGACGTCGTTGGAGACACTTCCTCCTTTTGACAAAACTGTTTTAACTATATTGTGAGTCAGTCTGAGCAGGGAGAGAGAGGACTCAGCAGAGCGCCTGGAAGTTCTCTAGGCCTGTGGGGTCCGTTTTTGAGTCAGCTCATTAGATTTGATAGAGAAATAGGAGATTGGAGGGTTTTGTATTAGTATTAGATTTTATTTATATGAAAGTTCAAGATAAATGAGTGCTGCAGTTTGTCTAACTATATCAGGAGCTCATCAGGATAAGCAGTGGCAAAAACACTGGAAACGTCAGATGAGGGAAAATCCTATGTGGCCGAAACACGTAGCATCCCTGTACATAAAGGTATTTTTATTTAAATGTCAAGAGATCCTCAGATTATCATCTCATTATCTATTTTAACTCTTGAATCTTGGTCTTCCGGAATCAGCCTAATCCCGGCTGAACATAAGCCTGGATCCAAGATGGCAAAAGAAAGACCAAGACCCAGCCAAAGATGTTGGTCTTCTACCAGAGGGGATGTAACGTAAAATTATTCCATAATAGAGATACATTGGAGGCCCCTAACGGAAACGTCCATCAACTCTCCAGGCCCCTCTGAGACAGGGTCCCTTATATGTCAATATACTATGGGCCTTCCAAAATGAGATGCCTCTCAGAAAAAAATCAATGCAGTAATATCACAGGAACATAAGACTAGATACAACAGTAACATTATGTGTTTTTTCTATTTTTCTTTAGGACACAAAGAGCAGCAGCAACACGGACCTGTCTCGCAGTCCCCAAAGCCTGAGCGACACCGGTTACTCATCGGACGGCATCTCCAGCTCTCATAGTGAAATTACTGGCTTAATCCAGGAAGAAGAGATGAAACTTAGTGAACGAGGCCTGATCACTAGTCGCGGATCTCCACCAAGTCCTTCTGAAATCACCAAATTGGAAAGCAGCATGCGGCCATTACTAGAAAAGAGTCTGTCTGAGGAAAAACCAGACCGTAGAGGCCGCAAACACAGGGACAGAGATTTGCGTCCAAGAAGTCTTTCGATCCCACCTGACTCCTACGATTCGGATGAGGAGCTTGAGGAGATTCAAGAAGAAGAGGAAGATACTCCAGAATGGGAGAGCAAACGTAAAGAATCTAAAGATGAGAAAAAGGAGAAAAAGAAAAAGGACACAGAACCTACGGAGATGACTGATGAGGAGTTCATGCGGCGTCAAATCATGGAGATGAGCGCTGATGAAGACATTGAGGAGGAGGAACTGGAGGAGGACGAGGATGAAGATGAAGGATATGGATACCAGAAACCCAAGAAAAGTCACCATAAGCATGTTGGAGACTCTGGGAAGGAGAAACGCAGACTACAACATCACTCCAGTAGCTTTGAAGAGGACACCAAATCCAGTTCGGATGTCTACAAAGGATCACTAGAAGAAGGTGAAGAAGATGTGATGGCTTCTCAAGGCGGGCTACGACGATTCAAGACCATTGAGCTTAACAATACCAGTAGTTACAGAGACAGAGATATGGATCTAGGCAACGAAAATGACTTGAGCTTGGATCGTGAGCCTGAACTTGAAATGGAAAGCTTGACAGGATCGCCTGAAGAGAGATCAAGAGGTGATTATTCATCTAGCATTCCACCAACATCGTCGTCATACGGTTCAGGACAATCTCCGACCTCAATTTCATCGATGGAGGAAGATAGTGATAGCAGTCCAAGCAGGAGGCAAAGACTGGAAGAAGCAAAACAGCAAAGAAAAGCAAGACACAGGTCTCACGGTCCACTTCTCCCAACCATTGAAGATTCATCGGAGGAAGACGAACTTAGAGAAGAGGAGGAGTTATTGAGAGAGCAGGAAAAGATGCGGGAGGTTGAGCAGCAAAGAATTAGAAGCACCGCCCGCAAAACCAAAAGGGATAAGGAGGAGTTACGGGCACAGAGGCGACGAGAAAGATCCAAGACACCTCCAAGTAATTTATCACCAATTGAAGACGCATCTCCGACAGAAGAGCTGAGGCAAGCTGCTGAAATGGAGGAGCTACATCGTTCTTCAGCGTCTGAATATTCACCACAAAGTTTGGATTCAGAAGCAGAGGGATACGAGACGAAGTACAAATCTGCTGGTGATTACAACTTGCCAACTTTCATGTCGCTGTATTCGCAGGTAGAGAAACCATCCAGTATAACAACTACTACAGCGCCATCTTCAACATCTAAACCGCTAAAAAGTGCTGAAGAGGTTTATGAAGAGATGATGAGAAAAGCTGAAATGCTTCAAAAACAGCAAAAACAGCAGCAGCAACAAGTCCGCCATCAATACTATGAGGAAGACGTTAACGGACAAGGCTATGAGGATGAATATGAATATGACCAAGAACAAACTGGATACGATAACGAAGCAGTTGAAACCGAGACAGACATTTATGAAGAAATCCGTCAAACGTCTCAGAATATCACAAAAATGCAACAGGCCACAGATGAGCAAGTCGATTTGGAGATTGAAAGTGTGTTCCAGGACAAACAGTTGTTAGACACTGGCTCTGCTTTTGCAAAGCTTCTCGAACAAAGCAATGCTCTTTTGACGCCAGGAACTAGCCCAACTCAAATGTCTGCGCCGGTATCCTTTGCAGAAACTGGTGGACGTATACCAGATGTGCGAGTAACCCAACATTTTTCTGCAAAAGATGGACATAAAGATAGAATAAAGGTACAACCAGGGAAAAATGGTATAACTCCAACTGCTGCTGCCACTACCATTGCTGCCTATGGTGTCTATGCCCGAGATGCAGTTACTATTTCACAAACAACTTCAAGCCATACTATGACTACTACCCAGTCAAGTATGTATGGAAGGCATACCGGGAGTACGGCAACATCATCGGCCACAGTGTCAAGTGTTTGCAGCAAAATAGCAGAAATTACCCAAGCTTATAGCCAAAGGGAAGTTATAACAAGACGAGTTGGAGACCCTAGAGGAACGCAAGTGCGAGATAGCTCAACGTCATCAGCAGAAAGGATAATTGAGCCACGATCGCCAAAGTATACTACCTATTACCGTAGCACCAGCCCTCCTTTGTCACCATCCCCACCACTGCAAAGTCCGACACGGTCCCCTCGAAGGTCAACAGCAGAATTTTCAACTCAAACTTTTAATTCGGCTTTGCGAAGAGACTCAGCAGAATCTGGTCCCACATCTCCTGTAATGGCGCAAGGGACTCAAACATCACACCGATCTGTATCTCCAAGACTTTTCCGTCAACAATCGTCGCAAGAAGCACCATATTCACCGCCTGCAAGTCCAGCAAGGCCAATGACAGTGAATACAGCAACTTCTCCTCTGTCATCTCCCACAAGATTCAGTCGTCAATCCACTTTTGAAACATTTTCACCATGTGGGAGTCCTCCAGACACTCCACCATATCAGCATTCTCCAACAAGAAGTTTCTATCGGACGCAAAGAGTGGAGAAAGTCAATGTCGGTACAAGTATGGTTACTACAGCCTGTACCTATACAAGGGGCTCAATGTCAATGGATAATATTTCTCTTTGTCGCATATCAACAGTTCCAGGAACATCAAGGGTGGAGCAAGGTCAAATGATACAAGGTGGAAGTGTTGTAGATTTAAGAACTTTGGGTAAAAATGCACCAATACTTATGACAGATTATGGTATGGATCTGACTTCACTGGCAACAGAAAGCCGAAGATACCATGGTGGACAGGATATGGGCAGGCATTCAACCATTGTTCAACCACTTATAATGAATTTGAATACGCAGGAAGTTGCTACACCTACAACAGTTAGTGTCACAGTAGCTGCGTCAATGTTTATGAACCAACCCAAACAACCTACAATCTATGGAGACCCACTTCATAATCGAGTCGATCTTGGACAAGGAATGGGTTCAGCCATGTGTCTTTCCCAAAACAAACCAGCTGATCCAGCAATACCAAAAATTGATGCTAAACTTGAAGACTTGAGCATACAACAAAGAGAGCTTCAAAAGCAACAAGAAAAGTTACAAAAGCAGCAAGAGTTACTAGAACAACAGTTGCAACATCATCAACACCAGCAACAAGCGTCTGCGCTGGCCAGATTCAACTTAACAGGGCAAATCGGACCAATGATGAAGAAGGATTTAATGGTCAGCCAAGCTAGTAATGCCCCAGCAGTTGTAAGTGCTGTTTCACCAATTAATGCTGAACTGTATGGACCTGGACCTGTTGAAATAAGAGGAAAACCTAGCCCACAAAGTATGGTTGTCCAAATGGATGGACATGATCATGCACAAACCGTTACACAATTAGTTGAAGTTGAAAAAGGGCAAGATGCAATGGATCTTAGAGGTGGGCAAATCAAGCCGGACAATCAACCTGCATGCTGTGATGTTGTTTACAGACTTCCATTTGGTAGTAGCTGTGTTGGTGCTCCAGAACAAGAGGGTATAAGACCACCATCTGCACCACCCCTCTCTTACGAATCAGATTCAGAACGTCAACCAAGGTATCACGAATATCCTATGGATGCACGCAAAGCATATACACTTCCATACCCAGGAAGACTGCAACCATCAATGTCTGATACAAACTTAGCAGAAGCAGAAATGCAATACCACTCAAAAATGGATCCACAGTTCCAGCCTCCAACAGATGTAGGCATGGATGTGACAGGAATGAAGCCAGGATACGGAAGTTATATCGGAATGCAGTATGGTTCTTACAATGACTTGCGACATGGTGGAGACATTGCGTCCCAAACTTTACCTATAAGAAGATACAATTCATTATCCAACATGTCTGACTATGGATACAGTCCAAGGGATATTGCTGGGTTTCAGGAGGCCAACTTAGCTCAATATAGTGCCACTACTGCAAGAGAAATTAGCAGGATGTGCGCAGCGCTTAACTCAATGGACCGATATGGAAGCAATCCAGATTTGATGCAGTATGGAAGCTTGGGAAGGCCAGCTGGTCCGCCCGGTTCTAGACTGGCAGGTCTTGGAATAAGGTCAAATATGCTGATTGGGCTTGATGGAAAGCCAATGTCACATAATCAAGCACTGACAAATCTTATAAATGCAAGACAAGCCAGTATAAGGGCAATGTATCCTTCTGCCATTCGATCTGCTGATGGAATGATCTACTCCACTATTCAAACACCAATAGCATCAACACTTCCCATAACAACCCAGCCAGCATCGGTAATGCGCCCATTGCTAAGAGGTGTCTACAGGCCTTTTGCATCCCCAAATATGACACCTGTACCCCTATCCAGCCTTACAAGACATCCAATGAGTCCGAGGATGCCAATGTCTGGACCTACTCCCATTCGCTACCCATCTCCTGGACTTTTACAAACAACAACAGCTGCCGACATTCCTCCAGCTATTTCAACTGTTGCAGGTCCAGTTAGTGCACCATATTCTGTTCCTATTCCACCTGTAACTTCCGCGGTACAAGACCAGCCAGTATATCTTGGTAAAGGCGCTGTTATGACTGCAGAAGCAATCCCAACAAGCTCGACAATTCCACTTGATGCACAACAGCAACCAATAAATCTGTCGCAAGCGCATATAAACAGCCAAAAACAAGCAGCAACTACGCAACAAGCTGCCGGGCAGCCTCTTCCAGCAGGCCACGCCTATCCTCCCACCCAAACGTCGATAGTTCAACCAGCTGGCATGCCTGTTGCTGGAGGTCTTCCACAGTTCCCACCACCAGGAGCTGTCCACAAGGAGGGAGAAACAGAGGCGGAACGGCTGCACAGACAACAAGAACAGCTGTTGCAAATGGAACGAGAGCGAGTTGAGTTGGAGAAACTGAGACAACTACGGCTGCAAGAAGAACTAGAGAGAGAAAGAATTGAGTTGAAGATACACAGAGAGAAAGAACAGATGTTGGTGCAGAGAGAACTACACGAGCTGCAAAGTATAAAGGAACAGGTAGAAAACGGTTATTTTTATTGTCAATGTATGTGTATTGTCTGTGTTCCGGCGTCAATGTATGTTTACTTTCTTGTGTTTTTGTTGCAACCCATATTATCTTTTGATTCTTTTCAATGTATTCTGATAAAACCGAATGTGTCCTGTCTGGTCATGCAACAATATGTTAGGGATATATCCAGTTTAAAAGATAATTTGTATGAAAAAAATCAAAGAAGAATTTGTTTTCTTAATATAATTTAGAAGCGTTTTTGAAAAAATAGGCACAAGCATAATTACATTAAGTCTGCTTAAAATGAATATAGTCAAATTTGAAGCCTGGGCTGTCTCATCACAAGCTCAGGAAGTCATGGCCCCTCTACAACTTTTTGAAAGGTTTCTTGCTGTGACGCATGAGTCAGTCGGGAATTGTTATGACTAATTGCTCGGTTATTGCTGAAATCACTGTCTCCATCAATTAGATCAATTAGAGCAGCCATGCACTTGTTGCACTGTGAATGAGGGGACGAGGATATAGTTGCATATGCTGGGGTTTTTTGTCATTGCATGCTGTGTGTGAAGCCCTTTCAGATGGTTTTACAAGCATTGTGAGAATGCATTTATTATTTGATGCGCTTTTGCATGTTTTTGTGGATCATACATGTTTGTGCATTTGTATTGTTTGTGCATGTTATTTGGAAAGTTATGCTTTTTTTTACAGTGGTCCCTCGCTAAAACGCGGTTCATGTTTCGCAGATTTTTGTCTGTGCAGAAAAAAACTTTTGTGGCTTTTGCGCACCACAATGATTAATTCAGAGGTCTCTCTCTCTGGTCTCTCTCTCTGGACTCTCTCATTGGTGTCTCTCTCTCACTGGTCCCTCTCCTTGGTCTCTATGGGTTCTCTCTGTGGTCTCTCTTTGGTCCCTCTCTCTGGTCTCTCATTGGTCTCTTTATGGTCTCTCTCTGGTCTCTCTCTTTGTTTTCTCTCTCTGGCTTATCTCTTTGGTCTCTTTCTTTCTGGTCTCTGCACCTCGGTGATCAGTGCAGAGACTACCGTGATCTTCCCGTAGCCCTCAGTACTGCTCCGGCCCCTCTCCTCTACAGCTGTATTTTACAGTGTATGCACGGCTTTTGACAGCTTCAGCAGCGCTCAGCCCTACAACCAACAGGGTGATATCTTCGCAATCGCACTTCAAGAGTTGTGAGTTCAGGTCGCTAGACAAGCGTATAAAGTGTGTGGTGAGAGGTTTTGTAGCCTTGAAACATAGAGCTGCTACTTTGTGGATTCTGCTTATTGCGGGTTATTTGCAAAACATAACCCCAGTGATAAACAAGGGACCACTGCATATATTTATTATAATTTCAAGAATCGCAACCACTATTATAATGCACAGCCTGTTAATGCAAACATGGAAATGTGATTGCATATTGGCGTATGAGCTAAACATGTTGCAAACACTGGAAGGGTTATTATTACTGTATGTCAGACTTGAAGATGATTTCTGAAAAGAATGACATGACTTCTCTTGTGTCCCAATAGAACAAGCAGTTGAAAGACTTTCAAGTAAAATCAGTCAAACAGGTGTGGAAGAATGGTTCACTCGAGATGACTTATTAACATGCATCTCATGAACAAGCCGATCCCTAACTCCTGACACAGCAGCTTGTGGCCAATGCTTCTGGAAACCCTCTGATAACCCCCACACATAAACAATGTTCGCACTGCAATTAAGTTGCGCTTCTACACTTTTTGATTACATTTTACACTAACTTGGTCTCAGATTATGAACTAATCCATACAATCCCAACAATAATGCCATTCTACATTCAATTATTCAATTGAAATCTGTGTTTTTGGAGGTAACTCACTCTTTGGAATCAGATGCTTGTTTATTTTTCCAATCAATGTATATAATGTATTGATATAAAAGGAATAGAGTAATGTTTTTTGCATTGAAATCTGTAAAGATCATATATTTTTTACATCATAAGATTAAACCACTAACGTTTTGAGGTTTCAAGGACTGGATTTAGGGTCTTGACAGTAGCTGGAAAAGGGTTTTTTGTTTGGTTTTTTTGTTATGTATGTTTTTCTGTCATAGGGTGAAAACTAAAGAAGGACTCAGAATGCAGCAATGCAAAATCTAATAATCCAATAGATAAATCCAAGAGGAAAACAGAGACCAAGACATAGACAACAGACCAGCGAGAAATGGGGAAGAGCACATGCAGGGCACATATACCTGTAGACACAGAAAGACACAGGTGATGAGAGCGGGGCAGATTATCAACAGGGGAACAGAACAGGAAGTAAAACATCAAAAAAGTTCAGTCGATCAATTTTTGCAGCGTACTGTATATTTGAAAATGATATACGTCTCATAGACAAACCAACAGGAAGAGAGCTATAGTCTGTCGTACACTGCAGGGGACAAATTTCGATATAAAGGACAATAAAATATTGTTACTTTTGTCTTATCTTCCTCCGGGTGCGTGCGTTATTCACAATTGTAAAAGTATCTGACGTTCACTTTATAAGTTTTCTTTTGCAGACGTTAGCGTTAGCACTTAACCGTAAGCAAACATGTTTTGCAATTACCAATTACTAATTCTTAAACCTAAATGCATCAAACATACATGTACAAAAAGAAAACTTCAAACTCGGGATGAAAACTTTAAAAAGCATCTAATTCCAGAATCTGAGTTGGCTATTGTGAAAGTATAAATATTTGTTTGTTGACTATCTTTGTCTTGTGTTTTTTCCTCTGTTTTATGTTGTCTTCTTAATTATTTGCGTCCCCTGTTTTTGCATATTGTTTGTGTCTCACCTCTGCTCCTCTGTTCCCCATATTGTGTTGCGTTTTTGTTCTTTTCTGTCTGGGTGTCACTTTGCGTTGGCCTGTTCCCATTGGCTGTGTGTGTGTGTGTAGGTCTTCCAGCAGCAGCAGCAGGAGCGGGAGAAGCAATTGGTTCTCCAAAGGGAACAGTTGGCTCAGCAAAAGTCTCAGCTGGACCAGATCCAGTCCCTACAGCAGCAGCTTCAGCAGCAGCTGGAGGAGCAGAAGAGGCAGAAGACAGCACAGGTGACCAGCGCTTAATGGATATATATGTGCAAAATAATAATATTGAAATAAAAACTGAGCGACACAGCATTTAACACACCTCACAACCTAATCTTTTTGTAGGGTCAAAATCACAGCAGTATGAAAAGGTCTTATGGGAACAACCTAACATTATTACATAATATTATAACGGGTTAGTACAACAAGATCATGGATACAAGTGGTCAAAATTAGTTTCCTCTGCAGAGTAAGTGGAGCTCGAAGTAAAGCCGCTGCTCCTCCACGTTGAGATCATATACTCAGGCCTCAATTCCCTCATGAATTCCCTCTCTGAAGAAGAGTTTTAGGCATGTCCAATCAGGGAGAGAGGCCTCAGGGAAGACCCAAGGCGCTGTATCTCTGGCCTGAGAATGCCTAGAGATCGGGAAGTCTTGGTCAAATTACTGCCTCCACAAATCAGTAATGGATAAACAAAATAGATGAATGGAAAAATTGGTTGAAAACAAACCAGTGTAAAGTTGTGTTGTTGAAAAGAGCTGTCAAGCTAATATTTTCACATTCTTGTTGAAACCGTTTGCTGACACTATGGTTATATCATTTAGATTGAATTCAATCTATTTTTGTCCATCCATCCATCCATTTTCTTCCGCTTTATCCGTTGCCGGATCGCGGGGACAGCAGTCTAAGCAGAGACGCCCAGACTTCCCTATCCACACACACTTCCTCCAGCTCGTCCGGGGGGACCCCAAGGCGTCCAGGCCAGCTGAGAGACATAGTCCCTCCAGCGTGTCCTGGGTCTTCCTCCCGGTGGGACGTGCCCGGAACACCTCCAGGCGTCCATGAGGCATCCTGAACAGATGCCCGAGCCACCTCAACTGGTTCCTCTCGACGTGGAGAAGCAGCGGCTCTACTCCGAGCTCCTCCCGTGTGACCGAGCTCCTCACCCTAAATCTATTTTTGTATAGCCCTAAATAACAACACTCAGTAGTCTCATAGGATTTTTTATTGACCAACAGCAGATAGGAGAATCAAACAGTTTGAACTAAGAAAATGCAATGAAAACAAAGACATTGGTGCCATTAGTCTATAGGGAACTGTCCTGAGACCTTCCTGCATTGACAAAGGACAACAACAAAAAACCCAGTGGGACAAAACGTGGGAAACCATGGAGAGGGCCGGACAGGCTAGAGAGTAAATATGGTCTACTGAGGAAACCAGGGCTGATATAATACTTTTTTTGTGGATACTTGTGGGGAAAAGGGATTTTAACTTCCGGAACCACAATGAACACTTCAAAGCTCCATTTAGCATTTTAACAGAAACAACACAAGTATGATGCAATGTTTCTTTGACAAGCGAGACCTGTGTGTGTGTGTTTGCAGGTGGACTCCAGTGGCCAGCCTGTGCACCCGTACATGGACGCTCATGCCAGCTCGCGCTCTTTGCCAAACTCCTCGTCAGAGATCTGTCTCCGCAGTCAGGAGGAGCAGCTGGAGGCCCGCGCCATGAGGAAACACAGCTCTATGACGCGTCTGCCCCGGGACGATGGGGAGGTGCACTTCTACGGGACACCCAGGCGCGCCGTCGACAGCTGTGTGCAGACCGACGATGAGGACACAGAGGAGAGGTGGGAGCAGTGTGTGAAATCAGAGAAAGTCAAGTGCTCCAGTGTAACGTTGATTTGCACTGCCTTGTCAAAATTTGCTGCCTCAGCTCCGGTGCGTGTCTCACGGCAGCCAAAGCGAGCCAAGATGACGGTCATAAAGTCTGTGCATTGTTTAAAAAGTTTAAATATGAACAAATTAAGACACGGATGCCTCTTTTAATGCATTTTGAGGCGAGATGTTGATGGTTCCATGTTCTGATATGTGGGTTTTAGAGTAGAGTTTTGTGTAAAGTTTGATTTAAGTAGTCAACTGTTCCTGTATGATAGCAGTCCTGTCACATTTTCAATAGTTTTAACAAGTGTTTTCTTTAGTTTGATCTTGTTTTACTTTGGCTGCAGAGAGACCCGCATGTTTGCATTACATCCTAAAGGTAGCGGATTTCGACGAGGCAGCGCAAACCGACACTGGCTTGTCCCGCGCACCGATGCTTCTTCAGCAATTACATTTATTGCTTGAACCTGCAATTTAATTATTTTTTCCCAAAATATCTTCTAGCCTTTTTTTTTATGTACCCTGGAGCCTCAACCCTATGATGATGTAATGGCAAGGGTGCGCATAACTGGTACGCAGTTATGCATGACCGACTGTGTTCTATCACTTGAGTTAGTAAGCGCCTTTGCATACTTCACACAGACCAGTCCTTCTCAAATGCTGGGCGGGTTGTGGTGCAGTGCCAGTAATGGGCGCAAGTGACCGTGAGGAACTTGGTTTGCTGTACGTACTCGAATGGGATTCTGCATCCTCGTGGACAATAGACTCACACAAACTCATTCTCTGCTATTTGAGTTTGTGTCTTTAAAAAAGAAGCAGGTATAAAATCTTGATAAGGAAAGCATGCGACAAATGGGGTGACCAAAAACCCCACTTCTGGTTCTCTTCTGAGTACCTCACTGAAAAAGTTACTGTATGTGTACCCCTGTGTATAGAGCATAAAATAACCTTTAAGAGATACATCATGTGTGTTACTTGCAGAGACTCTGGTTTGGGTTGTAATTGTCGTGAATTTATCAGGCCAGTAGGCGCTCAAACTACCGCCTGTACCCTTAAATGCACTATTATAAACATTATTATATATATTATTATATATATACTATTATTTTTCTCTCTTCTCAAGTTCTATCAAATTTTCAAACGGCTGAGTTCAAAGTCAGAGTTGCGTATTTATGGCGAAGACCTGGGGCTGTCAAAATTCAGCAGAAATGACTTCAGTGAAAATTTTCCAACTCAAAGTCCCAGCGGCTCAGCATCTATTCAATTATACTTACATGATTTAGAGCAGTGTGCATTGATTTGTCTTCACATTCTGCAATCTGATATTTCTCACACGCTCTAATGCATGCTGAGTCCACTGGGCTCAATGAAGCCTTCGGGCATTTCTCAAACAAGATGGTAACATGTATTGCATTATGCAAAAGTTTTCATACGGTTTTGGCTAATAAAATATTTAATTTGATTGGTGCTAATTCAGAATAATGTAACTTAAGTGAATGTCGTTCTTTAAAACAACATAAAAACAAGATATTCAACTACTTCAAACAAATTGGACTAAATGAAATTCTCCGTTTACGCAAGTAGCTTTTGAAACTGTATTTGAGTTTTCTCACACCTTTGAGTATAATTTTAGTGTTATTTGCAGTACTCTCATACATTCTTAACAATAATAATGATGCAGTGGTTTATTATAGCCTCTTTGTATTTGGACACTCGAAAATGCATCTGTCAATCTCTCCAAAGTGGTAAACGTCTACACACACACACATAAACACCCACACGCACACGCGCACACGCATAGACACACACACACACACACACACACACACACACACACACAAACACACACACACACACACACACAGACAGCAGTTCATCATTTTTGGTACCTGATGTTCCCATAGGTCTCCCATCACAGTACTAACCGGGCCTTGTCCTGCGTAGTGTTTTTACACACTGTCAGTTCAGCTTTGCCACGTGTTTACTTGCGTTACTTTATCCTGTTAAACCCTGTACTATAGTGAAAGTAATATAACAGCAGAGTTCTGCACTCGGCAGTCTTGCCTCATTGTCTTTTGGAGACTTTGTTGTCGAGCCAGAGGTTGAACAAGACCATTGTGACACCACAGCACTAATTGTACACGGCCGAATCGCCCTGGATGTCACCCCTCATTGCTGAGGCCCATCAAGAGCAGGCAGAGGAGGTCTATGTCTGCCCTAAACCACTCGACTTCAATTACACAATTATTTAGGGCTATGTTCTTAAGTTTCAAATTCAATACAAGCCAGGTCCTTATAACAGCATCTGCATTAAGAGCATCTCAAATAAGGCAGCACATCCCAGTAGCCTGAACTAGCATGCTGCATTAAAAAAAGATGCACCTTGTAAAATGAAGAAAAATCTGCACTGCTATGTAGCTCCCAAGTGTCTTTTATGTACAGACCATGATAAAGGTGAGTAAGCTGTGTCAGAAGTGATGTCACAGTCTAACTTTTGTAAACCTAAAGTACACTAGTCTAGCAAGGACAGGTAAGAAGAACCTGTCTTCAAAGGGCTGATGTGGCTGCAGGATTTCATTCCAACCAAGCAGGAACACACCCATTTTCTTAAGTGAGTCCAGTCTTAACCAGAAGACTTGAGGAAATGGGAGGAGTCATTATCAACCAGTATCAGAGTGACCGGCCCCTCCAACCAACACCGACTATTTACACACACACACCAGAGTCATTATGGACTAACTAAATATGATCCAACCCAGTATTTCAACTATAAATGTGTATATGTTGTTGCAGGTACATGATGCGCCCTCGAAGCCGTCGCCGTGGACGCAGTGTGGACTGTTCCGTTCAGACAGATGACGATGAGGACAAGGTTGAGACAGAGCACCCGGTCCGTAGAAGGCGTTCCCGCTACTCCCGCCACGCAGAGACCGCCAACACAGCCTCCTCCAACACCACGTCTGCACCAACTGATCCCAAAGCCGACAAGACAGTGTCCTCCAGTATTGCCATCCAGACCATCCGCGAAATGTCTTGTCAAACTGAAGTCGAGCACTTGGGAAGGGTCTCTCCGGCAATCCACGTTACGGTCCCAGATCCCAACAAGGTCGAGATCGTTCATTACATCTCTGGACCTGAGCGTACGCAGAAGGGACAGTCTTTGGCTTGTCAAACTGATCCAGAGGCACAATCGCAAGGAGTGGTAGCACCCCAGTTAAGCGTCCCGACTACGGTTAGCCCATATTCAACATCAACAAACAGCGGGACTCAACAATCCAGCGACATTTTGAGCCAAAGGCAACAGCAGCAGATAGCGGCAAACGCAGCTAAGTTCGAAAGACGTCGACCTGATCCTTTGGACATCAACTACCAACCACACAATCACATCCACAATGAATCCATCTCAAATATAATCCGCCAACAGCAGAACGCTCCCAAGTCTCCCCAAGTCCTATACTCACCGGTCTCTCCGGTCTCACCCCACCGGCTTTTGGAGACTTCGTTATCGAGCGAGCGGTTGAACAAGGCCCATGTGACGCCGCAGCAGAAGTCGTACACTGCCGAGTTGCCCCAAAGACACCCGTCTGTTCCGAGGCCCATCAAGAGCACGCAGAGATCCATGTCTGACCCCAAACCTCTCAGCCCGACCACGGACGAACACACCAAGGCCCGACTGGCTCTGTACCAGCAGCAGGCGCTCCAGAACCAGGTAACGGCAATCCAGTTAGAAGCCTCTAGACTAGGGACGATTGTAGGAATAAGGCACTTGATCAAACTATCTTTCAACAACATTGCTGTAGTTCAGTTTGTAATGCTAGTTTCTGTAATATTGGTAATTTTATGTAACTTAGTTCCCAGTTCTCAAAACAGTCTGGGTCTATCACAGGTTCTCTCTTTAGATCAGCTTTTACCGACAGAAAAGTGAACCAGATATATATTAATTTATTGAATGCAAGTGAAGAGTAAACTAGAACAGCACTATAAGAAATACATTTTTGAAATAAATCTGTAAAGTTAAATAACCATTAGAAACTTTTCCCACAACTCTGTCATGTTGGATTTACTTGATAGTAATGAGTAAATTAGGTCCAAAAATTATTATTTTTGTTGACTTATTCCAACATGACAAATCTTAACTTTATCAATAAATCCAAAACTGTAGCTAAGCAGTATCATTAAATATGACCATTGTCTTGGTAGATATGTGAAATAGAAATGTAAATTTTTCCGTCTTTGCATTAACTTTTACCATTTGTTCAATTGGACAAAATCCGTTGAAAGGTTTCTAATGTACTTCACACATTACTAAAATTGAATAGTTCTTATAAATCTGAGTGGAAGTGTTGTCCATAACAATAAAACTCCCAAGTGCCATTCAACCACAAATCATTCATGACAACTTACTTACAGTATTGTGATATAGGGACCAAGAGGGTGAGGGTATTTCTCATCATGAAAATAAACCTTTCCAATTGCCTGTATTTCTAGTCCCTTAGTTCAGAAAAAAAAATACAGTACTTGCTGGACTATTAGGCACACCTGTATATAAAATACACATGCTAAAAATGGGGGGAAAAAACACAACAACAGCTAGCAGAGCAAAACAAAGACGACAAACGGCTGTTTTAACTGGACACAACATGATTTCATAATCATGATCAAGCGCTATGGTAAATCCTATGTACTTTGACAAAAACATCACTACTAAAACCAATGGAGTAAAAATAATAAGTCCATAAACTCTGCTCTGACAGTGATCCAAACAAGTCCTCTGTATTTCCCTGACTTTCCTTGCTACTGTTCACATAAACACACTTACGTTGGAATGTGCGCTACTCTTGAGCTCTGGAGATAAACAGCAAATCTAGAGTCTAAAATCCTTCTCCACAGGAGGCGTTGGAAAAAATTGCTATTATTTATTGATTTTTCACATCCCCACATATATCAAATACATTATATTACATTATTTTGTGTACAAATCTTTGACTCCCCAAGAAGCTCTGCAGCTTATTAAAAAAAAGCCTAAACCAAAATACAAGGATGACCAGAGCAGATTACATTAATTTTCACATAATATTAAAACTAAAAAACAAATATATGCCACAGGGTTCAATGAAAGCGCAGTGGCTCATAGTCTAGCAAGTTCTGTAGTCATAATTACTCACCACTGAAATCCCATCATTAAAAATGCATACTTAAAAAGTGATGGCGTTTTGAGAAGCACAGAACAGCACGGACCAATGCCCTCTTATAACATTTGGATATTGGAACACATTTTTTAATCATTCATAAAGTCAATCTCAAAATGGTTTTGCCTTGTCACTGCTCCAAGTGAGTTCAGGCTCAGAAAAACAACAGCATGTGAAATAAGTCAACGTATTTTTAATTTGTTTTTCATTCCAAGTCGATATTCATTCACTGTGGCTCTATTGTGTGAGAGTGACTCACCGTTCGGCTGATTGCTTATTGAGTAGTTTCATTTAATTTTTGCTTGTTAAATGGCTAAAAGAACAAAATGTCCATCTACCTACGCAAAAAGTGCAAAAATATTAAATTGGTTTGGGTAAAAGCAATTCTCTGTTTTTCTCGTTTTATTATTTTATATTTCAACCGGGTCATAAATGGTACATGTTTGAGTATTTTTTATGTTGAGGCAAATGTAACCCTTTCACAACATTTGACCCTGACATATTGGCTTTTTTTCCCCAGTTCAGAAAATTATAAATTTAGAGCTATAATAGAAACACAGTAAAAGAATATCAAGCAACAGTTAAATTGCTTTGATTTTGCCCTCATTTATACAGTCGATTCTGGTTTGATTTCAGTCATTTACATTCACGGCCGCTGTTTATACTGCCTTTGTTTGTCGATGATCTCTTATGAATCTGTGATACACGGATGACTAGCCAGTGTGCATAGACATTTTTATCGGGGAAACCCAAAACAAAAATTGGATTGCTACCTTGATTCATGAGGGAGCAGGTAATTTCCGGCGACATTGCATAAAGAGCATTGCCTTTCATTAACAAAGTGAACTCCTCTTGTAACTTGTAACTGTTTTTTTTTTTTTTTTTTTTAGATCTACAGTAGATCTAAATATAGATATAATTCTCAATAAATGACCAATCAGGGGCCTTATTTTCCCATAATCGGCTTTAGCTTGAAATAGGCTTTTGGGGGAACTGACAAGTGCCGCTCCTCATTGGCTGGTTACTATAGGTTGTTGCTACCCATACATAGCATACATTTGGCTCCAGACCTCCAGATAGACAGAGTTCTACTCTACTTCATTTGCAATAAGGCAAACACTATGCGTGATGTTAGAACTCTGTTCGTCCACTTCTTCCACAGTCTTTGGTAAAATGTCCAAGTATGGTCCATCTGGAGAATATTGATATGCAAGGATTACATTGTTTTGTCTCAATAATGAGGATGTACGTAACATAAAATAAGACGTGAGACTTACTCAGAAGCTGGCAGAGGCATGTTTTGTCTTCTTTATAGGAAAAAATACATATAAAACCATTAGAAGTGCTTGTGATGTCTCGTGTTGTATGTCTGCTAACACAAACTCCACTCTTGTTCCCTGTGTCTTGTCTGTGTCTGTACGTTGTCTTGTCCTCTCTGTTCTTTGACCTCTATCTTTTTGAGTTTCCCCTCTCTTCCTTCCCTTTCACTGTCCAACGGCCATGTATGTTGTATAACTAACCATGTGTTTTATCTCATCTCCACTGCAACTGTGAATATGATTCATTCAATCTTTACCATTTCATGTTGTAATCTTGTGTAAACGGTCATTCTTGTCTCAATGTCTATCTTCGGGTACTTGTTTGGCCATCGCTTTTACTTTCCCCAAATGGTCTTGCACAATTCCCATCCTTGCATTGCATTTGTTGTTTGTTGTGCCTGTATTGCTACTTATTTCCTTTGCTAATGCATTAACCCCTACCCTAACCTTTGCCCCTAAACCTCTTTTCATGCCTGTATAACTCTCCAATGCATACACATTGCCATCCTTATTTTGGTCAACATGCATCTTGGTACTTTTTGACCATTCGTACCAACTTTCAACTCTTCATCCTTGTACCCCAACTTCAATTCAACGCACATTGTGTCTCTTACAATTGTGTTTCTGCTTACTCATTTCTCTCTACCTTTCCATGTCCAATTTGCGCCGTCGTCCACCCATTCTTGTCCCCATTTCCTGTTCTCTCTTCCCTCCCCCTCCCCTATATCCCTTGTTCTGTCTCTCTCTGCAGCTGGCAGCGTTGCAGCAGAGTGCCCTGCTTCGTAAGGTGAAGAGAACCCTTCCAAGCCCGCCTCCAGACGAGACCGTTGCCACCTCGCACCACCTGCCCATGATGACCCCCACGCTACAACAAGTCTACCTGCCCGCCGTGCCCAGCCTCAAGCCCAGCTCCCGATCAGGCCTGGCCGCCAAAGCCAGCCTCCTCAAGGACCTCACCCACGAACTGAAAGCCGTGGAGCAAGAGTCCACCAAGCTCCGCAAGCAGCAAGCCGAATTAGAGGAGGAAGAGAAAGAAATTGATGCCAAGCTGAGATACTTAGAGCTGGGCATCCATCAGAGGAAAGAGACATTGGTGAAAGAGAGGGAAAGAAGGGATATTGCTTACCTCAGGTGTATGGGGGACACTAGGGACTATATGTCGGACAGTGAGTTGAATAATCTCCGTTTAGCAGCATCAGGGGTGCATGACGCTAACGGTCTACTGGCGACGAGGCCGAGTACCGCGCCGTTGAGCCAGTTCCCCAGCGATCTAAACACAGCGGCGCAGTACCCACCCACGTCTTCATATGTGTCATGTCAGTACCCGCAAGGTCAACCACAAGCACCCCCCCAGTCATCGAGTGTTCCTTATCAATCCGCAACATACAACAAACCTCCCTACCCGACAGTGTCCCAATCCCAGGCACTACCGCAGCCAACGCCTCTCCAGACTCATGGCCCACCTCCCCCTGGACCCACCTACCAGCCTCCAACCTCATATCCCTCCCACACGTACCCCCAAGCCCAGCCCCCATACCCCCAGACAGAACTGGGGATACCAGCTGCACCACAATCCCAGCCTGGGCACACCACAACTGGTTTTGCGCCTGCTCCTCCAGGTCAGCCACCATACCCCACCCACAGCTCACCATATCCAAGTGCTGTGTCCTCCTACCCCAGCCAAACCACTGCTCCTTATCCTGGCCAACCCCAGGCTGATATCCTGACAGTGCATCCGGGGAGGCCAAGGCAAACCAATCTTGCTGATCTTGAGCACAAGATGCCCACGAATTATGAGACACTTAGCAACCCGACAGTGGTGGTGACAACAACTGCTCAAGATGCAACCTATTCCAATGCAGCACCTGCATATGGACCATATGGTGGTACTACAACTATGGCTAGCTCTTATGGCCCTTACAGTTCTGCGCCAGTGTCCAGCAGCTATGGTGGCTATTCCACCATGCCACAGAGTACTTATGGACAATATACCTCGAGTGCAGCCACTTCCTATGGCCAGTATACAACAACTACTGCTAACACTTACGGCTATACTACTACCACAGCTAGTACTTATGGACAATATACTTCAACTGTTTCCAATGCCTACGGGCATCCAGGAGACAGTACGGCGACATATAGCACTACAGATGCCATGTATGGGGGCCCTGGCTTAGAGCAAAATATCCCAAGAAACTACATGATGTGTGATGATGTTAGTGAGCTGACGGCAAAAGACGGGCTGGGCACGACAACAGCGGACATGATGCATCACGGCGGCACAGGGCGATACCCAGGAGACATCCACAGCTCAACGCGCGGTGGCACTGGCTCCTATGGCAGGGCTACTGAGGATGAAGCAGCGCTACAGGAAGACATGTACGACCACCACGGCAGGGGTAAGAGCAGCTACAGGCACGGACCACTAGGGGGCATGGGTGGGGGATTCTCCTATATGTATGACTACGACTTCAAACATGGCGCCATCCGACAAAAGCAGAGAAGCCTCTTGGCACCCGCCGTCATGTCAACCAAGCGCAGCAAGCATCGGAAACTAGGAAGCATGGAGCAGAAAATTTCCAAGTTTTCCCCCATCGAAGAGGCCCGAGACGTGGAGGCAGACCTGGCAGCATACACCTCAGCAACAGCAGGGGGCGGGACCTATCCCTCGGCCCAAATCCGAGGACGTCAGCTGATCGAGGACTATGGCTTCAAGCGGAGCACTGTCAACAGCAGCACTGGCTCTGGTCACATCAGCAGACTCTACGGATCGATGTTCGACGAAGATGACCGGATTTACTACACCAGTGGAGGCCGCTCCCGTTCCCACGGTTATGGCATGGACAAAATTTCTTCCCGGGACTATTCAGGGTACCGCAGTCGATCTTATGAAAGGGATGACCGGCCCTACAGCTCTGGCTATAGCCGGGGCCGCTACCCGACCAGGCAGTACTCGGAAGAAGAAAGCCCTCTCAGTCCCATGGGGCGGTTTATAAGTTCACGTCGATCTTCAAGTTTAGGTCCTGATCCTTACGAGGGTCGCAGCAGTAAATATCAATACTATTATGGCCAGTATGGGTCCAGCCACTCCCTTCCAGATGTGCAGGACCATATTCGGGACCTCCCGCGGACACACGTCTACAAATCGGCTGACACATACTTAATTGACGATTATCATTGCGCTGTGTCAGACAGCGAAGGTAATTGTGCGAAGGTCTCCCGCACAGTCTCGTCTTCTGCCCCCACCGTTTTATTAAGTGACCCCCACCCACCCAGAGGCTAGGCCTAGCGTAAAGACAGTCTGGCACAAAGACAGAGCTAGTGGTTGCATGCTGGTGTTTTTCATTACTTGGAGCTCTTATGAATGGACTGCTGTCTGTCTGTCTGCCTGTCTTGTTCATCCGTCCGCCTGTCCGTCCAGTCTGTCTACTTCTCGCATGGTCGGCGTGGTCGTTTCCTCCGTCCTCTAAACTCTGAGTCACGTCCAAGGTCTTTGCACGACACTGATTCCTGTCCTTTTTTACAGGGATGATCTGTTACAATGTCTGATGTTTATGCCTTTTTGTGTTACATTGTCCACACTGCACACAGGCCTCATTGTACAGTTTCTACTGGATATGCCAACATGCAGTCACTCTCAAAGATTATTCTGGAGACTTTCCTTACTGTGTTTGTTGCTGATTCACCAAAACATGACACATACAATGTATAGGTATAGCACTATTGTACAGTATACAACAATTTTATCACATACTTATAGAGTTTAGAGTAGTGGTAGTCAAACGAGTCTCCATAAGGCCATCGGGGCTACAGGTGTTCATTCCAACCAAGCAGGAGCAAACTTCCCGTTTTCATCGAGAACCTGAAAACTTGATGAAATGGGTGGAGTCTGGTGTTCTCCTGCTTGGTTGGTTTTCAGCTTGCTGCCACAACGGCTCTTTGAGGACCAGTTTGAAGACTACTGGTTTGAGGATGCCTTTTTAAACATACCATAGCTTAGACTGTAATTTATACTTTACTTTCTCATAAATCATGAATATTTACTTGCGATAACATTGAAGCCTCTAGATTTGAAAGATATTAGTATAAACTAATGTTAGGTCAAAGTTTCAGTTTCTCTGCCTCAGTAGGCACCCACAGCTTTTCTCTGCCCTTACAGTACATTACGAGGGTGAAAGTGACTGTATGTTGGTATTAATTAATTAATTATTTACGCAAAATAAAGGGTAGCACTTGTTTGGAAATGTGTACGATAAGTATTCCAATCCGACAGTGATAGTGGAGGGCTGTGCAGTGTCTATTTACATGTCTTGTTATATAAGTCTATGTCTAGTATGAAGTGCATGACTGCGTGTTCTTATATTTCTCCTCTCTCTATCTGTTTCCTGCTCTGATCTGTTGCATGCTGTTGGTCGTCCTTGTGCCCTCTTCGACTCTCAGCCTGCATGCCGCTGTCTCCGAACGACATGGAGATTGACTGTGACTTGCTCTCGGTTTCCAAAGCCTACCATTTGGGACAGGAGGAGACGGACTGGTTTGAGAAGCCCAGGTCCAGTTCACGACACTACGGCAGCCACTCCACGTCCCGGAGCAGGGGTCATGCTGCCGTCAAACACACGTACCACGACTACGACGAGCCGCCGGAGGAGGACCTGTGGCCTCAGGACGAGTACGGCCACAGCGGCAGACACTCCTCCTCCTCTCGTGATCATCGACACCACGGAAGCACCGGCCGCCACTCCTCCTCCAGGCACTCAGAGGAACAGCGCTCCTCAAGGTGGGACTGTGCATCAGCTCTCATGTTGGCACTATGCCTCAATTCAAAGCTGTGATTAACAATTATTGTGATCATAGATTAAACCTGCTGAATAAGCGTTTTTTTAATTCAATTCAATGTATTTTTGTGTAGCCCAACAGCATTCGTCTCGGAGGACTTCACAAGGTTCAATAAGAGAATCTAACACTTCTAACACAGGAAATGCATTAATAAAAAACACATACAGTAGGAGCCATTGGTCCATGGGGAGTGGGATGTCCATAAATGTTAATAAATGTCCATAAATCATTGCTGTCCTCAGACCCTCCTGCATCAAAAAGGGACAACTTAAAAAACCCATTGGGGAAAAAGTGAGAAACCTCGGGAGACCCACATCGAGAGAGGGATCCACTCCGATTGATGGACAAGCTATAGATCCAGGACTTATTATCAGTTTGGCCAAAACATCGCTAAAGCAATGCAAAGATTGATAGACTACGGTTTAAATGGGGTTCATGACATAGCAAACTAACATTTATGCTGGACCATGACTGTCACCCCCTGCAGGACACTCTCTCTGCTCTGGAGAGCAGCTTCAGTGACAGACTAATTCACCCTCGCTGTGTGAAGGAGAGGTTCCGTAGGTCTTTCCTTCCTGCTGCTGTCAGACTGTACAATAAGAACTGCTGAGCCTGTGAATCTCATTCATCTGTAAATAAGTAAATTCTTAAATCATGTGCAATACTGCAACTTCAGAATATCACTGAACAATGTCACTTTATCTCATGTCACATTACTTATATACTTATTATCCTGCCCTATTTAACTGTACAGTATATAACTGCACTACATGTATATATTTTGACTGGTATTGAAGCATTTCCAGCATCTACAGCCAGTTATGTTAGCTAAGAAACATAGCTACTACTTATCTGTATATATTGTGTGCTCCCTGTGTGCTCTTACTACTGTCCTGTATGTGCGCTGCAACATCGAAATTTCCCCACTGTGGGACGAATAAAGGAATTCTTATCTTATCTTATAATTTTTAAAGCAAATTCTCTTTGAGAAACAGCTGTATGATTCATTCATTGAACATATACTTTCTTATTTTTGATCCAGTTGGGGTTCAGTCTAACCAGTCTATATGTATATCAGTCTATATATGTTCAGAAATATATAAAACTAAACTTTACATCAGGGAAATTAAGAGGCCTTAGAAAAAACACTATTCTAAAACAAGTTTTAGAGTAGGATAAGAGAACCTTCATTTATCCCATGGTGGAGAAATGTTGGTGTTGCAGCGCACATACAGGACGGTGGTAAGAGCAGAACAGTAAATAAGAGATCAGTCGCTATAAATGCTTCAGAAATATAATGTAGGTTAGCGCAATATGGGCAGAATGTGTAGCCTCTAATAAACTGTTATTTTATTTTATGTAGCCTCTGACCAGAATAAGTATGACAGTATCCTTTATTTGTCCCACAGTGGGGAAATGTCAGTGTTGTATCACAAGTTACAGACAGTAGGGATGAGGAGCACACAACACAAGATAAATGAACAATAATAACATACAATTAAATAGTAAATAGTAAAATAACATCTCTAACTCTAGCATGAAAAGAATCATTTTAAAATCTCTATCTTTAGCATAATAAAGAAAGACATTTTGTATTAGCCCTGAGGAAGCTGTAGCAATAATCGACCCCAAATTATCTTCAGCATAAACTTCACAAACACAGTAAAGGCTACCGTCTGTTAACCGTCTGTTCCTGCAGGTCGACTAAAGGCCACCCCAAAGACCCGTCCATGCGTCACGACCCCTCTGGCCGGTCCTCGTCCACAGGCAGGAGAGGAGAGTCGCGCTCAGGGTCCTACCACTCCTCTGACTATTCTCGGGATCCTTCTGGGCACCACCACGGGCAGAGGTCTTCACGGCAGGGCGACCCACACCGTTCGTCCAGGAGCAAGTCTCAGCCTCCGGGAGACATGCAGGGGCAGACAGGTACCAACAATCATCCATCCATAATCCACATAATGTCTCCTCACAAGACGAACCGTTATGTGAAGTTACTATGCAACAGGAGGGGATAGGGAGCATGTATGAGGGAAGGGAATTTTATTTGTGCAGCACAATTCATACACAAGACAAAGTGCTGAACAAAATAAGATATAAACACCAAAGGCATTAAAATCATAAATATTCACAGTACAATAAAAAGTGATGATACAATCCTTCAGTTGTATGCACAGCTAAACAAATCATTTTCAGAGAAGAAGCCTGTCTTACATTTTCAGGATGACTGTTGCAGATTGTAGCAGCATGAATCTGAAATGCTGCTTCTCCATGATTAGCTCTGACTCTGGGACCAGCAAGAGGCCAGTCCCTGTGCTCCTCAGATCCCAGTTAGTTCATATGGCACTTACCTAAAAAAAAAAAACTTAAATCCATTATTTCAAAACCTGTACAACACTTTTCTTACAAAAAAAAAACAGAGAATTAAGACCGTTTAGAAACTAGGTAAAAGGGCCACACAGCTTACACAGTGTTCAGCTAGTTCCTCTGAAGACAAGACTTTAAACATTTCAATGAGCGATTTATTGACGTTGGGGGGTGGAGGGGGTATCAGAGGATTCCATAATTTTGGTCCAGCCACAGAGAAGGTCCTGTGCCTTGGGTTTTAAGTTTAGTCTTAGGCACTATGAGCTGGAGCTGGCTCTCAGACCTCAGTGGTGTTTGCTCATCTCATGGACGTGGACTCGAGATGTGAAATAAATACAATGTTAGAAGCAGATAGATGAAGACTAAAAAAAGGGCTTATACATCTACACAAAACAATAACACACAATAATAACATGTGTCCAAGCAGTTAGACAGAAGCTATTGCATGTTTGTCTATTTTATAATTTAGCCATTATTTTTGTTGTTTTGACAGTCATATAAAATTACTTTGTTTACACATTTTTTTTCTTTTGGAGCTTGATTTTTACATTGAGTCGTCCCCTCAGGGATCAACACTTTATAATTGTCAGAGTCTGTGCACACTACTTTCTGCAGCCCTAGGCAGAAAGAGTCATTAAATCTCTGCCTGATCTCCGCTGCTCGCACTTGTCTTATGTCAACCTTCATTTAGTCCCAGAGCAACGCAACATTCATTTAGAACAACACAAACACAACAACAGACTAAGCTTTGGCTTTTTAAAACAAACACACAAACATTGAAAAATATGTCTGTCAATGGTACTTTTGAGTCATCACTAGGGCCATTTCCACCAGCCCAACTTTACTAAACTTTAACTCTACTGTATTCTACTTTGCTCTGCTCTACTCTACTGTATTCTACTTTACTCTACTATACTGGGTTCTACTTTACTCTGCTCTACTCTACTGTATTCTACTTTACTATACTGTGTTCTACTTTACTCTGCTCTACTCTACTCTACCCTCTCCTGATGGGGAGTGTTTCCACTGGTCCTGTTTATCCAGTACCAGATGCTTCTTTAGTCCCTCTTGGTCCCGGTTCTATCCAGGCAGAGCTGGTACCTGACAGTGATTTGTCAGAGTGCTTCTGGAAGCCATGTTACCACGGAATTTCCTTGGACACTGCTTTGTTAGTGCTTCCTCTTCCTCACCTTTCTCTCTCTCCTCAGGCTCCAGGTCGAGCAGTTCGACCCGTGGGCAGGGTCCTGTGGGTCCAGCTGGCTCTGGTCGTGGTCCCGGATCCCAGAGCGATGGGACCCAGGGACAGAGGGCCACACTGCAGACACAAGCCCAGACCTCGGCCTCTCGTCCCGGACAGGGAGGAGTGGGAGGGGCCCCTGGATCTCAGCAACAGCCCCTTAGTGCGGGACAGGCCGCGGGGCTAGGGCCAGGACAGACCAAACCAGGACAGATGGGACAGATGGGTCCAGCAGGAGGTGCCATGGGACAGACCAGGCAGACCGGACCTGCTGGGACCATGTCGTCTCCTATGGTGAGTGGAAGCTAATTTAGGAAACAAAACATAACATTTTCCATTATAAGCACTAAAAGTCACCTCCTAAATCCTAACAAATATTTATTTAATATATATTTTAACAGAAATCAGATGACACATAAAGAAAGACTTGACTTAAATGCGCAACACTCTCATCTAGTCGTAGAAGTTGGAAATGACATTCAACCAGATTTAGATCAAAATCTAACATGACGAGGTGTATTTGAAACCATACAGTTGTTCAGGAAAGTCGCTGAGTTGCTATAATCTGGCGCAGAACATATCTGTCTTTGAGCTTTATGTTGCTGTGCTCTGTCCCTTTTAGATAATGATTAAATTATAGGTATAGATGGATTTGCATCAATATTTGCCCGATACATTATACATCTTTGTCTGAGGCCTGAAAAAACAATCAAATGTGGACTCACAATCACACGGATGAAAAAACAGTGTCTGCTTCACCTAAAACCACTCAGACATTTAAATGTTTTCATGTTATGAATTATGTTTGCATACAAATAATGACTGAAAAAAGCTACATTTAATAACCGGTCGCTCTGGTCTGTTGAACACGTTATTAAACCAAATAAATGAAATCCAAAAAGACATCCCCATGACATCTTCAGATACTTTCTCAGGCCTCTGTGGTCTCCCTTTCTCATTTCTCTGTTTTAGCTCTCCCAGACTCAGGCAGTTTGCATGGATATTTCTCTCCTGCTCACTGCCTCTTCCACTTTTCTTTATTGTCGGCCAATTAGCTGAAAAAGCAGCTCTCTGTGATCTGCCCCCGATGTGGAAAATTATGCAGATCAGTTCAGGAAATCAGGGTGAAAGCTGCGCACTGACAGGAAGCCATAAACAGCCCATAGAGAAAGCTGGCATTATTATTACTCTCCAGAAAGCACTCACTTAGAGCCCCTTCCTCAGCCCATGCTCGGGTTAAACGCATCGATCGGTCGCCTGTATGTCACTGCCGCTGCTGCTGCGTCGTCTCACACACAAATGGAAAATTAAACTTGGCTTTGGTTCCGTGATTGACGTCACTTAATAAGGAAATACTGCGAAGCCAGAAAGCCACAGAGACGGATAGAGGAATGGCTTTCTGTGTGGTTGCGTCAGCCGCTGGGATAAGGCGCTGCTAAGAAAGTTGTAACAAAAACATAGACATGAGTGAGTTAGTGTTATTTTCGTGTTTCATAATGGACTGGGTGAGTTTTTAATGGTAGGAAACTAAAAAGGGAACTGTGTCCTGATTAAAAACATACTGTTGTTTAAAGATTTTGTCAATGGTTTTATTAGGACCCAAAACACGTCAGTTTTTTCAATTCTATACTTCAGAAAATGAAAAATATGATCTAATAATTGCTTGAATCGAGTGGTTTTCATCTTAATTTGAGTACATTGTGACTTTAATAAATACAACATTATAAAGTAAATTACAGTTTATAACAAAAGACACATTGTACTTTGTGAGTTTGATTCCAGTTCTGTGTGGGGTTTGCATGTTCTTCCAGTGCCTGCGTAGGTTTCCCCTACCACTATGGTGGCCGGTGGTGGCAGAATTTGTTCCCTAAACAGAATTATACATTGTTAAGAAGTTCTTATTTTGACCTGTCCACATCTGAATCCTCTCTGGTCATGAATGCCAATAGTTTGTGAGTGATTGTCTTGTTTTGTATTTGTGTTTTCAGGCTAAGATCGACACTCCGCCGATCACAGCCATAGGAGCCAAGGCTGCTCCCATCGCTGCCAACAAGGCGGGACAACCTCCCCTCACCGGCATCGGTAACACACACCACCGTCTCTTCTGTACTGAGGTTAAACAGAGGCCCTTCCTCAAGTGCAGTTCAAGTATCTCTTGTTCACAAATATGAAGGAAGGATGGAGGTTGAAGTAATGCTGTCGCAGTATTGGACTGTTGAGGTCAAGAAGGAGCAGCGGCTGTAGTCAGAGCTGTATCAGACTGAAGGAGCTTAGTTAAAAGGCAAAGCTCTCAATTTACCGGTCAATCTTTGTTCCCTCCCTCACCTCTGGGTAATGACCGAAAGAACTAGATTGTGGATACAAGCGGTCAAAATGAGCTTCCGATGCGAGTGGCTGGGCGGCGTGGCGCTCCCTTAAGCCGTGATCAGACCGGATCATACGTTGCGTCGGCTTTCAATGAAAAGTCAATAGTGACGCGCGTTCGAGCGTCAAAACGCATGGACCTCTCTGCACACACATGCACGTACCGCGCAGTAGAGACGCACGGACTTGGCGGGAAAGTCAAAGGGGAGGAGCAGGAGCGGAAAATGGACGCCCACAGGAGATAAACTTTGCTCAATCTTTCTTCGGGACGTTCTTGCAGTGACCAATCAGAGAGCTGCAAAGTGGTCACGGGGACATTGGTGGTCTGAGCGAGCAGACTGAACATACTGTAAACAGCCAAAACAGGAGCTAGACCTCGACTTAAAACCAGGGTTGACAATGGGGGACCGTGTGCTTGTAAATGCGTGGTCATGCTACCGTGACTTTATGTACAGTAATAAACTTATTGCGCACCTCCGTGAACACATACTACTGTTATATAAAGTCCGTGGAAGGTCTCTGAACACAGACACAGAGCTGCATTATTGGAGAAGATCTTTACACGAGAAGCCGCTAGCTTAACTCTGTTAGCATAAGAGCCGGCCGGCTACTTCCGCCACTTCCGGCTCGCGTCAGGACGTTCTGGTGTGAAGTCCTCTGCGTCTGAAAACTAGAGAATGCGCGTCTGGTGAGTGAGGCTTCAGCGTTTGAGCGTTTGTGGTCTGAACGCGGCTTTAGAGATACGGTGAGCAGCTCATTCACACAGGAGTAGAGATGCTGCTTCTCCACATTGCAAAGAGCCAGTTGAGGTGGCTCTGACATCGCCTCCCTGAGGAGGTGTTTCTGGCCTGTCCCACTGGGAGGAGACCAGGGTAAAACCCAGGTCACGTTAAAGTGTCTCTCAGCTGGCCTTGGAACGCCCCAGGATTCCCCCAGAGGAGTCAGAGGAAGTGTGTGTGGATAAGAAAGTCTGGGCATCTCTGTTCAAACTGCTGACCCTACAACTCAGCAAACAATAGAGTGTAAGAAAATGGATGGACGCTACACCTTCTAGTTTAACATTAGTTGGAGAAATGTGCAAATTTAAATTTATATTCAAAACTACGACTATAATAACAAATATAATGTACAGTACAGATGTAAACATACTGCTGCTAACAAGATGCTAACATAACTACACTTTGGTTGCACTAGAATACACAGTACTTTATACTTGCCTCTTATTGACATATGTAAAACTTTTACACCTCTTTTATTATTATTTTCAAGATAGAGATTTTATACTTGTTATTGATGCTAGAGTTAGAGATTTTGTTTTATTTTAATTAAGTATAGCTATTGTTCACTTAACTTGTGCTGTGTGCTCCTCTTTCCTACTGTTCTATAACTTGTGACGCAACACTAAAATTTCCCCACTGTGGGACGAATAAAGGATCTCTTAATCTAAATCTTAATTGTTGGACTATTAAGTGCACTGTACAAACTGCACCAGCTAAAAAGAAAGTACATTTGGTCCACATACAGGCCACACTTGAAAACAAGCTGCAGGTTTACATGTTGTAAGGAAACACTAAACCCAGAGGACAGACAACTTAACTGTTTTAACTGGTCACAGTATTTAAGAGCACTTACACATTCTAGTTGAAACTGTCCAGACCAATAGAAGTAATAATTTGCTCTGATTGGTCCCACAGGCTCTAAAGCTGCCACTCGTCCTGGAGGCATCGGCAGTGCGGCCGCAGGCATTCCCGGGATGGAGGGAGACGGAATGTTGTCCAAGATTCTTCCCGGTGGAGCCGCGGAACAGGCCGGAAAATTGGGAGAAGGTTTGTTCACATCAGAGACTTGTGTCGAGTCTACACGGCCGTCTACACATTTCTAATTTAAACTTCTCTTTTACAGCGATCACTGGATTTGGAAAAAAGTTCACCTCATTCTTCTGAGGTGACAAACGTAAAGGTGAGTTTGATTTTAAACGACTTGGACAGATCAGAAGTTGCTTGTGCAAGACAGGGCTTGGAGACTGAGGGGAGCTCATACACTGCTTTTGCATAGATTGGGCAAAATGTATCTAAATTTGAGCACATTTTGACTTAAATTAAACCTACAGTTGTCTGTGGGAAAGATACAAGAAATGTCTCCCTTTGAATGAAACAGTTCTTGAAATACCACTAAAAACACCTCAAAAAAGAACAAAGAAAAACCTACATAATATTTCAACTTCCCAAAATGAGGAACTGGTTACTCTTGCACAGTTATTCCAATGCTGTTTTACTGCAAATGGCAGATAAACTGAATCTAACACTTTCAGTACTGGGTTCCTATTTTAATTGTCACAGCAATAAGAGCAACTTTGGCAGTAAAAAAAACGGCGGTCATCATCTACAGCAGGGGTGTCGAAGTCAATATCATCAGAGGCCAAAACAAACACACTTGCTACAAGCCGAGGGCCGGACAGTTTCAATGATTATTAAAACATATTACAATTATGCATATTGCCTATTGAACCAAATTTTTGAATGGCTCTATGGGTCATTTTAAGTTAAATTTTGTTTCAACAGGCTCAAAAACAAACTTCCTTCAAAGAGAAAACACACATCCTGAACTTTAAATGAATAATCCAATATTTTTTTTAAGGCTCTGTGTGGGCCGGTTCTACTACTAATCAAATATTACCCCGAGGGCCAAGATAACTCATTCGAGGGCCGTATCTGGCTCTCGGCCCTTGACTTTGACACCCATGATCTACAGCTTTCTACCAAAGACCCTCAAGAAGCAAAGATTTATGGTATTGTGCAAGAAGTATATTCACTTTCAACCAAATTGGCACAAACTCTCCAGCAGGTTCTGAGTGTGGGTCACCAGTCCTTTCAACCCTATAGTCCCCATATTTAGGAAGCATTGCCTACTCGTAATCCAAACTAAAATGCTTTGATTAAGTCTTTGTAGATATCGCTGTGTGCAACATTGAGCGTGGGACTTGAACTTTTCTCCAAAACACACTTTTTTGTTGTTTTGTAGAAACGAGAGACAACTGCAGGCATTGTACCAGAGCAGCTGTCACTTCTGCAGACTTTGTTTAACTGAGGACTTTAAAAAGAGGAGAGACTGAAGCTGCTGAGCGGAGAGTGGAGCAGACTGGTGAGTCTGCACACGCTCTCACTGCATTTAAATATTCTCATTTGACATTTGGTTCAGATCTACGTGTTAACAAAGTTTCTCTACTAAGTACATTGTTCAATCTGGAAAGACTCAACATTAGTGAGTAATGTTTGACTGAAGTAAATTTGTTGCTGCTTGGAGCGTCTGTAGATCCAGGACCTGGGCTCTAGAACCAGGACTGAGGCTGTAGATCCAGGACTGAGGCTGTAGATCCAGGACTGAGGCTGTAGATCCAGGACTGAGGCTGTAGATCCAGGACTGAGGCTGTAGATCCAGGACTGAGGCTGTAGATCCAGGACTAAGGCTGTAGATCCAGGACTGAGGCTGTAGATCCAGGACTGAGGCTGTAGATCCAGGACTGAGGCTGTAGATCCAGGACTAAGGCTGTAGATCCAGGACTGAGGCTGTAGATCCAGGACTAAGGCTGTAGATCCAGGACTGAGGCTGTAGATCCAGGACTGAGGCTGTAGATCCAGGACTAAGGCTGTAGATCCAGGACTAAGGCTGTAGATCCAGGACTGAGGCTGTAGATCCAGGACTGAGGCTGTAGATCCAGGACTAAGGCTGTAGATCCAGGACTGAGGCTGTAGATCCAGTACTGAGGCTTTAGATCCAGGACTGAGGCTGTAGATCCAGGACTGAGGCTGTAGTAGTCAGACAGTCGTGAAACTGAGTGAACCTGTAGGAACAGAGGATGCTAGTGTTCTTGTCTGAACTTCAGCTTTACCTTCGTTAATATTAACATGGATTCACCAACTACTACTAGAAATATAAATGTTGATACAAATCATTTTGTTGGATCAGGCACTAGTTTACAGGTTTAGCTGAAATATTCACAAGCCTCTACACATTTTTCCAGACACATTCAGTGGTAACTTTCAAAATAAAGCCCAAAGTATTGAAATATGATAAGGCAGGATTGGGGCTTCTTTTACTACAATTTTTTTTTAATCTTACACCAAAAGCATGTGTGTCAGTAAATGTCATAAACAGTGGAATCTAATTTTGATTTTTCTTTATAGCCCAGGAGGACACAGAATGACAGTAAGTTAATGCAAACATGCTCCTCTCCAATAAAAACATACTCAGCAGATCACAGCTTTAGTAAAAGATAAACCTTTTTTTAGATGAATTTAGCTGCAAGCCGCCTGACACAGATGCAATATTTTACAGAGAGAAAAAAACAGCAGCTTGACATGGCCCTAGGACTCAAAAAACAAGAGAGACTCAGGCTGTTGGTACATCAGGCTTAGGTGTATACTACTGTATATATATCATGTAAATGTTGGATTTAGTGTCCAAATGTTGAGTTTGGACACAAAATCAAATCCATCTCTGATAAAGTTATTATAAGACAGACATAGATTCAGAATCAGCTTATTGCAGTACTTTGGAAAATACTAAAGAGCTTAAGTATTTCCATTGACAAACAAATTACTTAACACAAGAATACTTATTCTTATTTATTTAATTCTCAAAACAGCTGCTGTATGAAATATGTCTTTATATGTTATGGATTTAATCTGAGGTCCCTCCATTTCAAGCCACAACATTTTAATAATTCTTCTGACTAGTTTCTAGTTTTCAAATGTACATACATTTTTGAGTAATAGCTTGTAAAAAGTAGAAAAAAAGATACAATTGTTAATACACCTGTATATATTGACTGTTAAATCTTGCATATGTGTATTATGTTAGTTGCATGCATGTGTATGTTTATATACAGTAGGAAAAAACAAGATGAATGTAAATATTTCTGCTCGAATAAATGAATAAAAGTATTTTGACTTGATCACAAAAATATGTAAATGTACAACATGCATGCAAGTATTAGTAGCATTCAAATAAGCCAGAGCAAAATTCAACTTCAATGTATTTCTTGTATAATTTGGATAAAAAATAACAATTAAATCATAAATAATCATACATAAAACTTAAGTCCTGACCTGGGCACGTATCTAATCTAATATTCTCTTCCTAGATCACACTATGCCATCACCGCCACAGAGAGGATTGCCTCAACCTGCTTTTAACAACCAAAGAAACTCCAACCTTGATCCATCAAAATGGCTTCCATAATATCAACACGAAACCCAAACCTTCCCGACTCGAGAAGCTGCTACACCACGACAAAGAAGGCCGAAAAAGTGGCAGCCATTTTGAATCAGTAGTGTGGCTATATGGCAGTGGAGTGGCTCTGTTCGCTGCTAGAAGAAAAGCAAAAATATGAGTGAGTTTTGAGCTCAGAGGATCCTCCAATCGCATCTCGGCTCTCCCGCTAGCTTCCTCTCTCCTCTTTTTAAAGTCTTTGTGAATTTATAATGCAAAAGTGAAGCTGTTCTGGTACAAAATATGCCTCGATATATGGACGACGCTTTCGACAACTATGGCGCAACTAACGGATACGAAATCTCAACATGGTCTTTCTCTACCTTACATTCCAGGTCAAAGACTACACTACCCATCACGCATCTTTGTCAGGAATGCAACACAAACTTACGGAAAGAAAACAAGTGAAATGCGTTTTTTTTTCTTTTTTTTTTAAATATGGCGTGGATTAACCAATAAAGACTGCATGGGACTTTATATTTATAAGACCTGTCACTGTTCATTGTAATGAGATTGCCATAACGACGCTACAATGACGATACACTAATCGGAAATGACTGGAAAAATCCAACAAAGGAAAGGGATTTGTTGGAAATTGTGGGGAATATAGGACAGACATTGCTGGGCAGACACAAGCAAGCCATCACAAAGCCATTGAGACAACAGAAGTGACTCCACAACATTTGGCTCTGGCATCATGTTGTCTCTGTACAATTTATTTATTTTTCTACATTTATTTAACACTTTTTTTGGTTGCTGTAAGATCGCCTTAATACGATTTCTTTTCAAGGATAATTTTTTATTCAATATCAGCTGGATTACTGGCCACAGCGATATTACTTGGTTTACATTTAGTTAAGTTTTTATTTTGTTTTGTTACAAACCCTTAATTTTAGTTGTGTGCTTATTCTAATCAATAATTATGAAAAGCAATAGAGAAAAATATGAATTTTTTGAAAGAGCACAATGTTGTGAACATCGGACAAGGAGCTAAGCTAATCGTTAGCTTGCAAACAACAATTCAAAACTCCAACGGTACCTTCAACATACAAGAAAGAACATTGTTGGCCCCAAAACACGCCAATGGGGGATTCCGACTGGACGCAATGCTGGAAAGGAGGGAGGCACTGAAACCACGACAACAACGAACTTAAGTCAAACACAGATAGCAGCCATTTTGAAGGAATTTGGGTTTTGTGTTAATTTTACTTTTGATTCTTGTAAAATTTACTTCTTTGCCGCATGTGTCGTCAAAATGTGCACAGTGAAACGCGCACGGGAAAGCACACTCCTATTATGGTGTCAAAAAAAGAAAAAATAGCCAACCAAATATGTCGTCATTAAGTCACAATTTTTTGATATCGTAACCATGCAAGAACCCAATTCCTTCAATGTATTTGCGGTCGAAACGTCAAAAAACTAAAGACTATTTCACTCAGGTCAGTGTCCTCCTTTCTGCTCCATGTTGCAGTGCATTGCGATTAACCGCGGTACCGGAAACATCCACCGTCCATCTACCGTAAAACGGGCCAAAATGACAAAAAACTGAGAGGCCTTTTGAAAACTACGGAATATGTATATTGTCTCTATATGTGAAGCCTGCTGGGGACTTTCGCATGCTGCCCGGCAAAAATGGAAAAACCTCAACTCACTATTGTTCTGTTCCTAATGTTTGTACGTAAAAAAAACAAAAGACGAAGAAAAAAACAGTGTGTTTGAGGATTGTGTATGCGTGTATTTAACTTCATCACAAGAGAAAATTTACAAATGGGGGGGAAAACATGGCGGGAAAAGTTCCAGAAGGCGACCTCTCATCTCCAGTCGTTCTATGCAATGGATGGGTTATGGAAAGAAAAAGAAAAATGGGTGAAAAGTCACAAAATCTTCTGCTTTTTTGTTTGGCATTTATTGCGTTCATGGTTATCGATAATGATTTTTTTATATAAGTTTGTGTACGTGGGTATATTGTGAAGGTGTAAATGAAACGAATGAATCCCCTCCTTCTCCAAAAATGGAAGCTCAACAATGGTGCAATATTCATATCTGGGAAGAATAGGAATATATATATATATATATGCATATGCGAAATGTACTTTTATTTTATTTTTTTAGTGGTTTCTGTGTCAACCAGACGGGTCCAAGATGTGGTCCACAGGGGTCAAAGATGAAGCTAAAGGGTGTTGATCAAATTTTGTGCTGAGAATTCTATTTTTTTTTTTTTTTTTAATGAAAAATTAAACACTTATGTGTACCTAAAGACACAATGATTATAAGGTAAATCAACGCAAATCTCTTCACAAATAACTCTTTACCTCTGCATATTATTTTACATATTAATTTGGGCTCACAGATGAAAGATGATTTTGGCACCCCTGATTTAAACAATTGCATAGAGTTCAGAAAAATTAAGAAAATAATGTCAACAATATACTTATATGTGTTTACAGATTAATTTAATTCAGAGATATAACAAGCATATAGATAATATTTATAAAGCAATAGTATTTAGTAACAAAAGTATTTGCTCAAAATACAAGCAATACATACAAATAAAATATATGGATATTTATTATATGGCACAAAATACCCCTTATCCCCATTCCAAAGTTTTTCCATGGAATCACGGAGGTGATTTGCCCCTTAAAAAACTACATACGGTTGATTTAAATGAAAGATTCCCAGTTGCCAAGAAGGCATTTTACATTGATTAATTATAGATATATGAAACATGAAAATATATTGTATCGTCAAAGATCCTTGGGTTGATTTATTGATTTGCTGAGATTGGCTGAACCCAATAGTGCACCTTCAAAAGCACCTAAAGCAGCCATTCCCAAACTCAGTAACACCGAGGCCCCCTTAAAAATCTGACGGGTCTGCGTGGCCCCCCAAAATAATAACCAAGAAGACAACATTAAGAATAGGCTCTTCTGGTTATTTTATTTTGGGGAAATAGCCTCTGCTACAAACATTGTAATACAAAAATGATTACAGTGGATTATTCAAGTCAAATAATGAACACAAATATTTTAATATTACAAACAAAACATTATAAATTTAACATTAAATAATTATATTATTTTTTTTATTTTTTTTATGACCTCCCGCGGCCCCCCTGCAGTACCCTCGCGGCCCACCAGGGGGCCGCGGACCCCACTTTGGGAGACACTGACCTAAAGTATCAAGAATACCAATATATATAAGGCTACAGTTGTTTGTTTGAATGTCGGTGTGAAGTGAATGCAGTTTTAAGATACGTACAATTTACATTTTTAAATAAATGTTGTGTCAGAGTGAGCCATTATTAACAACACAGAGCTATTCTACTGTCCACAATGTTCAAGAGTTTATTTTTTACAAATGTTTTACTAAATGTGTTATTTATTTTTTATTAGAAAGTGAACCCAGAACAATATTTCAACATTTATTCAAGGAAATGAGTTTAAACATTCCCCATTCATCAGCAAAATGATAGACATATACAGTATACATGCCTAAATAACTGTTAGTATTTACACGTTGAGGTTGACCAAATTTCAGATTACTTTTGGATGTTTTGAGAAATCGTTTTTTAAATGTATTTTATTTTTTATCTCAGGAAGGATAATAGGGTTATGTTTCTGCCACAGTAATGGAGAATTTGGGAAGAAAAGTAACATTTCACTATTAGGGCAAGTCAAAAAGAGTGTATTGATTGGAGTATTATGGAAACAATATGGAGACAAAGATTGAGCCCTGAGGAACTCCACTCATAATCATTTATAGACTATTTACTTGTATAAAAATAGGGACTTGGAGTTTTTGCTGTCAACTACATATCATTAACATGTTTACTTTATTGCTTGATAGCGAGTTAAGCTATCAAGCCAATGTTATATCTCTGGGCTTGTTTTCCATTACCGTGGCAAGACAACTTTCTTAAAATATTACAGTGCAGTGGTGAAAATAAAGCGACAACAATACAAATATTAAGATAAGAAACAATACGAAGGTGCAATAATCTTGAGTGATAAAGTGAGGGAGTGTGTAACTAGCACAGCAGTGAAAATAAGCCTTTGTTCAATGCATTACTTAGAATTTAGTTTCCTTTCTTTGCAAATGGAGCCAATGAGTCAAATATGCATCGCAGCAAGGGCTTTGTAATCTTATGTCCTGTGTGAAGAAAGCCATTGTGTTGCTGCCCTCAGCCAGTCACCGTCTCGTGTCAAAACACTGCAAAATCTCTGTCTAACCTGGAATAAACTTGTCAGTATGGGGCCGTTGAGTGACGATGCAAAACACTGCATTTCCTGGTCTCAGGATAAAGCTAATTGTAAACAAAATGAATACTTTAATATGAATTTATGAATACGATCTCCACGCTGTTTACTTGATTACTGCCACAACACACTGTTCTCTCCTTTGTTTAGAGACTTGTTGATGCTAGCGTAGCACAGTTTTGGAATGCTAAACCAAAACTGTTAGCATAACATTAGCTTACCATATACATTCAAACCACTTCATTTTTTTATTCTCATTCAATTGTATTGACATGGTTATTTCTAAACAAACAAACATAAAATCTGGCATAAAGTACAAAAAGTACGTTTTTTAATATTTGCTTCAGCTTTGGATCTGGATGCGAGATCTAACGTTACACCTAAGAACAACACAGCCTGGATTTCAACAGGATTTTTAAGCACAAATGTCAACCATGTCCAATGTCTATAATAACCATTGGAATTTATGTCAGTTTTAATCGACTGCATCTGTATGTTTACAAATTATTACCATTGCCATAGGTTAGCATTTTGGAAATAAACAATAATATCAAATTGAAAGTAACACAACAATGCGATAGAAGTATTTTTCAACTTCAAGAAAATAGTTCTTACAGTTGTTGACTAAAAAGTTAATATGTATTAACAGTGCTCTAATACAATATCCCCAAAATGGTATGATATATTTACTCAGTAAATCTAATCTTTGTCAATAGTAAAACGACAATGTCTGCTTTATTGTAAACTTCTGTGTTTGATCCTTGAGGAGAAGCTCAATATAATATAGTATATAGTATAACTCAATTCAATGAATTAAACAAATCTGTAAAATAAAGTTTAAGAGAGAGCTTCTCCATGAATA